TATTTGATTGTGTTTATCTGCAGTTAGTTACACGAATTCAGATATGAGATGAAATCGGATAGGATGAAATCGTTTAGGGATGAACGGGTTTAAAAGTTTGTAAGGGTTTTAGCCAAATGCTTTATAAGATAGTATAGATATAGATTATTATTATATCTTCCTTATATTTTGTGAGTATTTTATTTAATATCCAAGGAAAAGGTTAAACTAATATTTTACCAAAATTCCCAATTTCGCCACATAACTTCTGAAACCTTCTAATCTGAGGACAACTCCGCAAGATGACATCCTTCTTCAACGGCGTTAGCCTTTTTTCCTTTCAATTTCTTTGCCCTAAGTCCATAATGCCCCCTCGATTCCTATGTCCTCTTTCTCCGTCGTTGCTCTGATCTGAAATATCACTACCGGACCACCCCTCATCTCTCTCCTCCCTCTACAAATTCCCCCAATTCTAACCTAACTTTCAAAACCCTAAGTTTCGATTCACTCAAACGATTGCAATTGCAGAAGCAGAGCTGCCAAGTGAGTAACTTTTTTTCTGGGTATTTTTGTTTACTTTTCGCTGTTTTTGGGGTTTTCCTAACTCTAGCTGGCATTCTCGTATCTAATTTCGGGAATTTTCTTTTCCTTGTTAGTGTTTCTTGCTGAACTTTTAGCTGTATCATGTGTTTTTTTTTGGTTGAACTGTTGTCGGGTGTTTATGGCTACCTCCTTTCACGTAAGGAACTATACTTTGTGTTTAGGTGGATAAGAAGTTACTTTTCAAGTTCAAGATCGATGTAGATTTTTGAAATTTTAATGGGACAAGTTACCATAAATATTAAGCTGTTGCAAGTGCTATGAATTGAACAATGCTTGTATTTGTTTTACAGAATTTTGCTTTTGACATTTACTAGCATTGACGTTCAAAACAGTAATGTGGTTTAGCTTTGTGTTTTGGGAACTGATAGTGTATGCAGTTATGATTTAAGCCTTACCAGAAATAGATGGTGAAAGTTGCCCCCCCTTCCCCATTAATGGGGCAGCTGGTCTACTTTTTTTGATTTTTGGATGTGAACTGGGTTGACTTGCTTGGGTTTAACTGTATGTTAGATTGTTTGATTAAAGTTGGAAACACGCATGAGAAATAGGCGAATGTTGTTCAAAACAAGGTGATAGCGATCCTTGTTCTTATTAAGTGTAATTCAAGACAACAAATTGTGGCTATGATTTCTTATTAAGTGTAATTCAAGACAATGAATTGTGGCTATGATTTCTTATTAAGTGTAATTCAAGACAACGAATTGTGGCTATGCTTTAAATCATTGACTTGAATTGAAGCTACTGACTTCTCAGTTTAGTTTGGCTCATTAGCACCTTGGTTTTGTTTTGTGTAGATACCATTGACCAATTTGGTTATCTTTTAGTTGAGATACATGTGTGACGAAGGTATGAAGTTGGTATCCTGTAAAGGTTATATGTTGATTTTTTGTCTTAATGAAGATGGGATGGACATATGATATTTCTGCAGTGAAGTTATTAACACTTAGATGTTAACTGAAAATTTTGAGTTCTTAAGGGTGCGTTTCGCACGCAGACAGGACAGGACGGGACGGGACAGGACAGGGTGGGACAGGACAGGACAGGACAGCTGTTCAGCGTTTGGTAAGACATGATAGGACTGGACAGAACTGGTTAAAATGACCAATTTACCCCGGTGAGTCAATCCTAGAATTCTAACCACCATGATCAAGCAAAAAAGCCCTAAATCGATTCTAACCACCCTGAATCGCCATGAATGCACAAAACAATATTCAAACAAAGAAAATTGATTAAGATTCTACGAACTATCCCAAATCAGCAACTAGATTAAGATTATACTCAGATATAATCACGAAGAAAATTGAAGTTCATATACCTAACCTGTTCATCATCTATTCCGATCAAATCCTCCGCCACATCGTATCCCAACCCAACCGCCGCGATGGAGTTGAACAGCAGTCGCCCTCACCTGTGGAAGCGATGGAGGAGAGGAGAGACGGTGGAAGCGATGGAGTTGAACAGCAGTCGCCGTCACCTGTGGAAGCGATGGAGGAGAGGAGAGACGGTRGAAGYGATGGAGTCGACCAGGGTGGAAGCGATGGAGGAGAGGAGAGACAGTGGAATCGATGGAGGAGAGGAGAGACGGTGGAATCGATGGAATCGATGGAGGAGAGGAGAGACGGTGGAATCGATGGAGTCGATTGAGGGTGGAAGCGATGGAGTCGATTGAGGGTAAAGAGGTAAAGTTTTCCTTGTTCTAGTTAGTGCCAGGGGTAAAGGGTGGACAGCCGTGTCCCACCCTTGTACCACTTAGTTCTAGTTAGTCCCATATAAAATCACACCAAACATGGGACAAGTGTGTCCTGTTCTGTCCTGTTCCACCTTGTCCCATGCACCAAACGCACCCTAAATGATGATTGAGTTAATATGCTACTTTCCTAATCTTGTTACATTTTTCTTACCACCTCTAGAAACAGGCAACATCTAGAGGTGATCAAATTTCTCTACAATTAATCCTCATTTCACTTCACAAGTTTCATATACATTACCAATGCCTCATCACATCTTGAAGTGGGCATCTGAGGAAACAGCATAAATAGCAGTTGTCAAATGGAGGCTAGCTTCTCATTTGTTTTTGTTGATTGGCAACAACTTGCGCCTATCCCAGTTTGGATTTACTTCATCTAGTTATTTAGTTCTCTGATAAGTACTAATCTCTTGGTGGAACCCTGCTGCTTTGATTTGTTTATCGTGAAGCTTGTGGGTGTCAATTGTTTATTACTGTTCAACAATATTTAATTAGTTAATGTTCTCAAAGTAATTTTGAGTCTGACATACCAAATTCTGTGGCCTGTGCTTCCAGTGTGGTTAATGTTTGTTGTGCTTTTTGGATACACTCATGTGCTTATCCCCAAACTTCATTTAACAAGGAGAGCTGAGACTTCATGTTCGTCTCAATGGGGATACTTGAAGGATATGCATAGGAGAGGGACAAAATTTTGCAATTCTAAAATGATAGTTACAATAGAGTCAATAGCTCATGGATATTGGGACCATCTGTGTCATTCTAGAAGTGTAGATTGTAGATTTCCAAAAATTTGAATTTTGTACTAGTTAGTGTCAGTTGCTTTCCAGTGTTCGATGTATGAAGTAATTGATTGCTCTTGCTTTGATGATGATTAACTATGTTCGTCTCAATGGGGATACTTGAAGGATATGCATAGGAGAGGGACAAAATTTTGCAATTCTAAAATGATAGTTACAATAGAGTCAATAGCTCATGGATATTGGGACCATCTGTGTCATTCTAGAAGTGTAGATTGTAGATTTCCAAAAATTTGAATTTTGTACTAGTTAGTGTCAGTTGCTTTCCAGTGTTCGATGTATGAAGTAATTGATTGCTCTTGCTTTGATGATGATTTTCTTGTATAGTTAATCATTTGTTTAGACAACGTTTGCCCATATTGATCTTGTTTGGTGATAGAATAGGAAAAAGAAAGTGATAATTTTGTGTCTTATTGGCATTTCTGGAGTCATACAACTCACAGATGCTTGTGCACTTGCTTGGTATCTGAACCTTGCATTTATTTCTTAAAGTTTCAAACCCTTCTTAGAGAAGCCAACCATAAAAGAGTGGTGCATAACCCACAATCTTTTCCTGCTTGCTTGTGTCTGTTTCTGTAGGTATATACAATGGCAAAGGGCAAGCTTATTTTAATCTGCCAATCTGGTGGTGAGTTTGTGACAAATGATGATGGAACCATGTCATATAATGGAGGAGAAGCAAATGCAGCAAATGTCACTTCTGAGACTCCATTCAGTGATTTAAAATTACATTTGGCTGAAACCTGCAACATAGACCAGGAAACAGCGACTGTCAAGTATTTCCTGCCAGGAAACAAGCGGAACCTGATTACTGTGAAGAACGATAAGGATGTAAAAAGAATGATTGATTTTCATGGGGATGCAATAACGGCGGAAGTCTTTGTTACAGGAACACCAGGTTTTAACAGGTATTACTCAATGTCGATACTGCACCTTGTTCTATTACAAATGCACACTGCTCATTTATGTTATGAGAGATGCCCAAAGTATACTTATCCTTGATCAAATTGGTTAAACCAACAGGGAAAACCATACCAAGAATGATGAGACTGAAAACGATGATAACATGAGTACCAAGAAACATGAGTCAGTAAAAAGAGGTAAAGCAGGTACCAAGAAAGATAAGCAGGTGAAGAAAGATTATGCATCCCCGGTTAAGAGGACACGCCGTGCTCTTGCTGCTGCTGCTGTTGCTGCTGCTGCTAGCGCTGAAGCATCTTCTGATGAAAAGGCAGAGGGAAACACCAATGCTTTGGTGTCGGATGATGCGAAGTCAGAGAGCTCTACCACAGATACTTCCACGAGTTCTGATTCTGAGCGTGCCAACGCGAATGTAGATTCTGAAAGCAGTTCCGACTATGTACCTAGTAGGTATCCGAAGCGGAAGAAAGACAGTGTTAAGAAGCGAAGGCGGACCCCATCTTGGAAATTTGGTGCGAATGGTCGTCCCACCATAGTTTCTGATGATTCCGTGGGATCCAAATCTCGGGGGAAGAGGCGGAAAACTATTGATGGGAGTTCTGGAGGTAGAAAATCGCAGAGAAAGAGTGGCAGGTTAGCTGCTAAAGGAGATGGTTCTAGGGAGACAAAATTAGGGAGAAAGAAAAGAGGCAAACGAGCTATTATGCCAGTAGCTGATAGCAGTGATGAAGAATACGATGATCATGGGGAACCCTCTGCTCTTGCTATGTGTGATGATGATGTCACGCCTGAAACTTTGGTTGCTGTGTGGAAGTCGGCTATTACTGGTGTCGGTCAGGAATTCACAAGCTTCTATGCATTTCGAGAAGCGTTGCAGAAATACGCTATGGCAAATGCCTTTGCGTACAAGTTCACGAAGAATGATACAAGTCGTGCCATTGGTGAATGCGCTACTGAAGGGTGTTCTTGGAAGTTTTCCACTGTGTGGGTCCCAACTACGCAATCTTTTAAGATAAAGACCCTGAATGATGTACATACATGTGACGAAGAATCAAGGAAATCTGCTTACCCAACCAAGAACTGGTTGATTGATACCATAAAGGAGAAGCTGCAAAAGTCACCACATCTGAAGCCGAAGGCAATTGCTAATCGAATTCTAAGGGACTCTGGGTTTGAGTTGAATCGCACACCAATACGGCGTGGAAGTGGGATTCGCAGAAAACAACTTCATGGATCAGATAAAGATGCATATAATAAGTTGCCCTGGTTCTGTGAGAAGATCATCGAAACAAATCCAGGTAGCATCTCTAAACTTGTTGTTGGTGAAAACAAAAGATTTAAGGCGCTATTCGTGTCTTTCTATGCATCATTATGTGGATTCCAGAATAGTTGCCGTCCCCTTCTTTTCCTTGAAGCTACTTCGCTGAGGTCCAAATATGGAGAAGTTCTATTGACAGCTAATGCCATTGATGGAAACGATGGTTTCTTCCCAGTTGCATTTGCTATAGTAGACGTTGAGGATGATAACAATTGGCGTTGGTTCTTGGAACAGTTAAAAGCTGCAATCTTGAATTCACAACCTATCACTTTCGTCTTTGATAGAGAAAAGAACTTGAAGATGTCTGTGCTCGAAGTTTTTGGAGATGCTCATGTTGGTTACTCCATTTACCATCTCTTGCAGAGCTTCAAGAGAAATGTGCGGGGTCCATTCAATGGTGACGGTAAGGGTTTCTTGCTGGTTCATTTCTTGGCCGCTGCTCATGCAGTCCGGCTTGTTGGTTTCAGAAAGGCAACAGAGCAGATTAAGCAAATATCGTCACAGGCTTATGATTGGGTCATGCAGATTGAAGCTCAACACTGGACGACTTCATCCTTTAAGGGGGAGCGTTATAACCACATCACAGATGATATTGGCCGATCACTTGCCAAGTTGCTGGATGACTATCGGGAGTTACCCATATTACACAAGATAGAAGCGCTAATATGTACAATGATTGATGCCATAAATGATGCTAAATTGGATGCAAGTATGTGGTCTACCCATCTTACTCCATCAAAGGAGAAAAAACTGCAAGATGAAACAGTCAAATCGTGTGGTTTGAAAGTGTTGATCTCTTCTGATATTCTGTTTGAGGTTCGTGAGGATTCGACCCATGTTGTGAATCTTAGTAATTGGAGTTGTACTTGCTTCGGGTGGAAAGAAACTGGTCTACCATGCCGCCATGCTCTTGCTGTTTTTACATTGACCGGTAAAAGTCCATACGATTTCTGCTCAGGCTACTTCACTGTTGCTGCCTATGCTCTAACCTATACAGAATCCATAACTCCAGTACCCATTGAAGAGGAAAAAGGTGAAAAGATCAAGGATTTGGAAGAAAAAGGGGAAAAGATCGAGGATTTGGAAGAAAAGGGGGAAAAGATCGAGGGTTTGGAAGAAAAGGGGGAAAAGGTCGAGGGTTTGGAAGAAAAGTCGGAAAAGGTCGAGGGTTTGGAAGAAAATGGGGAAAAGGTCGAGGGTTTGGAAGAAAATGGGGAAAAGGTCGAGGGTTTGGAAGAAAATGGGGAAAAGGTCGAGGGTTTGGAAGAAAAGGGGGAAACGGTCGAAGGTTTGGACGAAAAGGGGGAAAATATTGGTGATTTGGAAGAAAAGGGGAAAAAGATCGAGGATTTGGAAGAAAAGGGTGAAAAGATTAATGATTCAGGAGAAAATGGGGAAAAGATGGAGATAAAGTATGCAGAAAGCGAAAAGGAAGAAGCAGGGGGGAAAGAGGACCATAACGACAAGACTGAGAAACACGAGTTGGAAGGGGAAGAAGATGAGCATTCAAATGTGGCAGAGAAAGAAAAGAGCGAAATAGCAGAAGAAAAGAGCGAAAAGATAGAGATGGAGAATGCGGGGGGTGATAATGAAGAAACTGAGAAAGCAGAGGACCAAAAGGAGGAGATTGAGAAAGATGAGGATGATCCAGATGTGTTTGTTCTTCCTCCAATACCTACAAAACCAGCTGATTCAGGGAAGGAGAAGATGGAATGGGATGAAATAGAGGGAGAAACAAAGAGAACAGTAACCTGCACAAAATGTAAGCAACAGGGGCATAACAAGAAATCTTGCAACTTCTACCAAATGCAGCAAGCTTTTTGACTTTGGATCAACTAGGTCAATGTCTGACCCGAAGACTGTGCGGATCTTTTAGGAAAACACGATTCGGATCAACCGAGACGTTTTTTGACTCTTAAGACCGTTGCAGATCTATAACGAAAGACACAAGTCCGTGACACCAGGTACTATATATATATATATATAGGTGCTCTAATCCCTTTGTAGCTATGTACCATATACTATTTGATGTTAAGTGTCTTTGTTTGAGAACATTTGGTTAGATTTATAGTGTTTGAACTTGTTAGCTTTTCGTATGGACCAGAGTCTTGAAAGACCCTTGTAAACGGTTTGAAAAAGACGGTGAATAAAAACTTTCCATTGTAATTCTCTTGTGAAACCAAAAAACTTGGGTTCGGTCGTTTTTTTTGTTAAACTGATCTCTTTAGTTCTTGACGATGAGAAAAATGTCTGCATACATTTTATCTTACGGATACTACATCATTCGATATACCGAATACATTTGGTTTGGGGTATACCTCTAGGAGGAGTAATAGATGGTCCATATTCTTGTGTTCTAAAATCCCACCAATGGTCAAGTGGGCCTTGACCAGACTGATTTTTGGTTAACCAATGACATATTTTCGGTTTTAACCAAACTTTTTTTTAACCAGTTAAGAACGTCTCAGGTTCAAAATTAGGACCAAAACGAGATTCTGCCTATAACTGGTCCTTGGCCCGGATACTTTTTTTTAACTGATCCTAAAAATAACCCGTATAAAATTAGTTAACCGGTAATTTTTGTATCTCTAACAAACCTTAGGAGTCATAATGAGACCACAGGATGTGATTTCAGACTGCAAATCAGTGTCATATAATCATGCATGTATGTATGTTTCTACTGTAATTAATTGACATTTAACAATTGAATTACATATAAAAAAAAATCATATATAGAGATTACAAAGAATGTTTTCTTAAAAAATATTATATACAAACGAGACTTCAATTACTCTGGTTAATCTATAAATAGAACCTGGAATCTATAGAATTGTAGAAGTGAAGATTAGTTTTTTATCATTCAATGAKCATCTTGTATTTCATAAAAATTGGGAGCAATATAATCCTTACGTAAAGGCCATCCTATCCAACTTTCAGTCATTAAGATACGTTTCAAACGTGAATGATTATCATAAGAGATTCCCAACATATCATAAGATTCCCGTTCTTGAAAATCCACACTTTTCCAAACCTAGAAAACAAACGGAATTCTAGGAATATATATATATATATATATATATACACACACACACACACTAGAACGGTACACGCGCAATACAGCGAGACACATCTCGATTTTAACGTTCTATTTTATTATTTGTCTCGGTCAATGTTATAATACGATTTTATGTGTTTTTAAAAAAACAGTAATGATTTTATTTTTGAATAAAATATAAATTTGAAGATATCATAAAAATCTGGAAAAAAAAATATCAATGTTAATATCAAATCAACTATTTAAAAGTTTTCATTTTTTAAGTAATTTCTTTAATTTATTTTTAATTATAATTTAATTTAAGTTTAATAATGATATAATTTATTTTTGGTTTAATAATATAACATTTTATAATGATAATAATTAAGTATTCTGTTAGAATTCGATGATTATCCTAACTATATTTTAGATTTTTTATATTTAAAATGAGATGTTTATCCTGTATTTGATTATGTTTATATGCAGTTAGTTACACGAATTCAGATATGAATTTTTAATAAGTTGTACTTACGCACAATCTACTTGTAATATTGAGTTTTAAGTAATATGTATTAATAAACAGTACTTTACACATAAAAAGTGGTTTTTAAGAGTTTTTGTCAAATACTTTATAATATAGTATATATATATATGACAAATAAAAGTCACACATTTCTCAAATTTGATGAGGTTTGAATCCTTAATCTAACGAGGTTATCTTACCATATACCACTAGATTAATATCAAACATAAAAAATAAAAATAAGGAAAACTTTTAAGAAAAAATTAAAACTAAAAAAGTCAAACAATGTATTAAAAGAACTCACGTCATGGCACACCTCAAGATGCAACAATGCGCACTAGGCATTACATAGCCGCAGTGAAAACGCATCTCACGCCAGGCCATAATATGATAGCTGTCATGGAATGCCTTTCTTTTCGAAATATATAATATTTATATATGACAAATAGAACAAATAAACTTACACACCCTCTTCACCTTTGACCTCCTAGGAGACTAATGACTCACATACCGCTAGGCTAAAGACACTTTGATCATGGAACGCCTTTTAGAGCCACAATATAAATTTAATGAGTTAAATTTAAAGATAATGTATATAAATATATATATTGTGTATGTGTTTAAGAGTTGATTCATGCCTCATGGGCACAAAAGGGTGATGTCTATTTTTATTTTCTTTCAACTGTTTGTGTGCAAATACTATTACTTAGAGATGGCCAAATGGGCCCGACCCGGCCCGTAACCGCCGGAGGATCGGAACCGGCCCGGGACCGGTTGTGGACCGCCGGTTATGAACCGGTTATGAATTTTAACGTTTTTTAGAACCGAGACCGGTTAAGACCGGAACCGGTTATAGGACCGGCCCGGCCCGGCCTGGTCAACAAAAGTCAACGTGTATATATATATATAACAAAACGTATTTATAAAATTAAACGTATATATATACATATATATATATATATATAACAAAACATATTTTTAAACGTATTTATAAAATTAAACGTATACATATATAACAAAACATATTTTTAA